GAGGGAGGACAAAGGTACAAAGCAATTAAAAGAGGAATAAATGAAGTGGAGAATGAAAAAGAAGTGATCAAGATAATGATGACGTGTTGCTATAGCAACCTATTATGTCCACGCCCACATTTTTAGACAGTTTGTTAGCTCCTCCTACTTTACCAAACACGTTTGAATGATGTCCACAATTAGGACAGACATAACCACTCATGTTCTCTATAATACATAATACAAGGACTTTGATCTGATTTTGAAGCAACTATAAAAATTTGTAAAAATCTAATTTTGATCAGAATCGGCTCAAACCTTCTACGCAGCATAAGTACATGTATATACACCAGGAAAAATTATAAAAATGAAAAATCATTTTTTAATTTTTAGCAAAATTTGGCATGTGACCAATCAGGGACTTTGATCCGATTTTGGAGCAACTTTAAAAATTTGTAAAAATCCAATTGTAATTATAATTTATTTCTAATTTAAGTATCTTCTAAAAATATATGATTCAGCTGCCACTGGGTGCAAGAGCTCATTTTAGCTAAAGGCGTAACCTGATGGTGTAAAACAAAACAATAAAGGAGTACCATTGGGTAAAAGTACAAGATATTAGAAATACATGTAATTGAAAGCTGTATAGTGACATCAAGGAATGGATACACAATACAAATAATCATAAACAGAACAAAATGAAATATACTATAGATAATGATCTACTAACTTCACAAGTTACTATGCTTTACAATATTTGTCTCTAATATAACTAGCAATGGATTTCTGTTCTATTGTATCCAGTGCTGTAGCTAATGATGACCAACTGGGACCTCCTTTCTCTCTCACTTTATCTTCTCCTCTTAACCAGGCAGACATACAAGCATGGAAACATTCCTCTGATTGTCCTCTACAGTCAGTGTCTATATCCACTAGTCTAGGATCATATAATCCTAACTGTAGACCTAGTCTACGCCATACAGAACAGGGCAAGTGTTGATCTGATGTTAATACTTTAATGACAATGTCGAGATTGTTTATATCTATAAAAATAAAAATTAATAATGTGTATATACCGTAGGGCACTTTTTTTCAAGGGCTGTAAATTTTGCGGATTTCGCAATTTTCTTTAAGATTCGCGAAAATAAATTCCGCGAAAATCAAATTAATACGGTACAAAATGACAGACGGCATAAATGTGTATATACACTGTACAGTCTACACTCCCACTACTTGACAATTGTGATAGTACATATTATAACATACCTAGCTTTATTGGAGTCAATGGTGTGTTAAATTCTTCAGCTAATTCAATCACTTCCTATAAAACAATAATTATTAGTGCTTGTATTAATGTATCAAACAGTTTGTGTGTTAATTCTTACCTTAATATCACGTCCTCCTAATAGTGACAGGTTATTAATATCTGATAATGATTCATCAGCTAGGATCTCCTTCAATCCTGTACGTCTAGTACCAGTAGCATTTACTAAAAACTCTTCCCTCTTGACAATAGCAGACATCACATCTTTTACACTATACACTGTCCTTTCTCTTGGTGTATTCACAGGATAGGCTAGTTCTTTAGGATCAATAACTAACTCTTTTACCTCTAGACTGGGACAGGATTCTTTATAAACACTCATTACCTTTCCTATCACATCTCTTCTTAAGGACACCATATTGTCACTGCAATTTTTCTCACAGGACATCATTACTAGTACACACTGGCTCTCATCCACAATCTCTACCAGTGATCCTACACCATGACTACTAGACCAATAAAGTCCATTCTTCCAAAATGTACAACATCGCATTAACTTGTCATCTTCTTGAGGTAGAGCCATTTTGTAAGCAAGACGTAATGAGAGAACGTGGAAGTATCGAGGAGGAAAGAAATGATGTTTACTAGTACACTGTAGACACCAACCAAACTGGTACACTTCACTAGTCATCTCATCAGGTCTATCAGTAGACAAAAGACATGGAAAGTGCAACAACCTTTCTCCTCTTCTTTCTCTCCCTCCCTCCTCCTCCTCTTCCACTACTAACTGATGGAGGTTTGTCATTCTTAGGAAAGATGGATTGATTTCTTGACAGAGTTCCATGTTCTTCAGAAAACGAATCAACATGTCAGGATCATATTTAGGGAAGAGTCTAGTCAGACCAGACACACTAACAATACCAGTATTGCTAGCAATGTCAACGTGTTCTTCAAATGTCTCAGGAGCAAAGAGAATTCCATTCACCTCAGTTAGTAGTATACCCCTTATTCACAACAACCCATACCTTCTCTTCACTTTTAAGAATACTGATCAAACCAATTGAGTGCAACGAATCAAGAACATCCAAGACGTCTTCTCTCTTATCTGGTATAAAGTAATCATCATTGTCCTTACCAGCAGACATTACATCAGAGAGGGTCAGTATATTCTCTTTCCTTTCCTCCAGTAGACCATAGATCATGTGACTATAAAGACTCAAATTCCTTCCACTTGTACTACGAATGGACCCACAGGCACTAGACAACTTATTAAAGAAGGAACCCACACCACTCCCACCAAGCTTACGACAATCTAAGAAGACACTATCACACCTTTCCCTTTTAATTTCTTCCTTTCTCCTTCTCCTTTCAACAGAATTACTTATCTCATCCACATGACTGACTATTACAATAACATAGCATTGATTAAGAGCTTTTTGTGCTTCATTTCTCACAACTGTTAGCCACTGGTGAAGCTGTTTGACTGGTTCTTTCTCCAATATATTGACTACTATCAGGAACACACCACCAGAACCTTGTAACAGATTCTCAATGACAGCACTGTGACTGGAGTAGTATTCGGAATGACCAGCAAAATCATGAAGAATCACGTTACCCAGTGTCCTGTGTCGTAGTTTATAAGGAATGATGCCAGCAGTATAGGGCACTACCCCTCCAACATTTCTAAAGGAACCAAGAAGAGTAAAACTAGCTGCTGTGTCATTGATGACATGACTAAGAGTACTTTTACCAGCTCCAGGATTACCCACAAGGAGGATGTTAACATAAGAATCAATTGGATAAGATGATTTTATACCACCAAACTTCTTCAAAACAGAAAGAGTATCAGTGCTACCAATCTCCTTAGCTAGTTTAAATAGTGTGTTCCCCTCATAGTCTTTAGCCAATGGATCACATTTACCAGTTGATAGTAAATATTCAACAGCTGCAGATTTACCCCAATGAGCAGCAATGTGAAGAGGTGTCCACCTGATCCCGTTAACAGCCATTGGATCACAGTGACACTCATCAATGAGATATCTCATCACATCAACATGATTCCATCGTGCAGCATAGTGAAGACAAGTCCAATCCCGACCATCTCTTTCGTGTGGGTCACAGTGATATTTAGTGATGAGATCTTTTGTAACATCTAACCAGCCATTCATTGAAGACAAATGA